CATGATAGCATGAATGGCTTAAAACATGTAAGGCATAAGCAATATTTGAACATTAAAAGTTTTAAGAAGAAATGACATGTAAATCATTATATATGGTCAAGGGCATTAACATAAAGGACATAAGAAAAGCTTGGAAGAAACATTGTCATTTTGTGGGATATTATCGTTAACCAATAATAAGACCATGAGAGCTATATCATGGAATCAGATATATCCATCATACTGAAAAAAGGGGAATCTACTTGCCAAGGTAGAATCCATACATATCCTCTTTTGCTAAAGTGGATCCACTAGCTAGGTCATTTAAGATAATCCTTAGGGGGCACCTAGTTAGGGACTATAGGTTACTACTAGAGACTACCCCGATTGAATCTCCACCTCAAAGCCCTTTAGGTGCCAAGTCTAAATCCCAACGGAATAGAAAAAAATCAAATATCAATATAACATAAGAAAGGCAATGATCAATACCAATCCACACTTTTAGATGAAAACATAAAATATCTCCTTAAACACAATTAAACATGGATGAGAAAAGCTTTCATCAATGTGAATTCATATGTGAGACATAACTTTCACAATAACATTGATACTTTCCTTCCAAAGCATCCCTAAATAATTTTTCATAACTTCATAAAAACATGCATATCTTCATAAATTCATAGTTCATAGGTTCATATTAGAAAATAATAAATTAGGCATGGGTTAATATAATTTCAACTCAATATCATGTATTAACATCAAATCATGCATTAGAAGACTTAATCAACAATAATAAATCATAATTCAGTGAAACCCATAAATATGTAATTGAAATCCTAACTTGATCAGTTGAAATTGAATTGGAAAATTGGAAAGCTTGGGGGACCCCATGGAAGAATGGATTCCATTGATGAGTACCCACATACCTTTCTACTAAAAGCCCACAAAGAATGATGAATTAGACACTTGAATTTGAATCCTAGATTCTTCTTCTTCCTTAGGTTGAGAGGAATTTAGGGAGTGTATTTTGTTTGGTTTTGGGAAATTAAGAGAATGGGGTTGAAGTGGGTAGTTTTATGACCTTAAAGCTTTATATAGGGCTTAGGGTAGAAGACAAAACGACATAGTTTTGATTTAAAACAATGAGGGACTCAAAATCCCCTTAAAATAACTGCCGAAGCCTTTCTATGGTTTGGACCTATGGTCACGTAGAACTTCTACGGACTGTACTGGTCAACCGTAGAAAAGTTCAGAAACCTTAATTTTGGACCAACTTTTGAAGAACTCTGTCTACGGCCTATAGGTCTTCCTACAATCTGTAGAAACCAACTTGACTCCTTAAAATTTCACCAAGTCTGGGACCTACCTATGAGACCTATCTAGGCTCGTACAAAGACTGACGGGTCGTCCTACTGAACCGTAAAAAGGGGTACTGGAGTTATTTTTGAAAAACTATTTTCCATCTTCCTACGGTTGCCATCTACGGCTCGGAGAAGCTTCTATGGTTCGTAGATGAGACCCGGAGACACAGATTGTAGACCAAATAGTCCTTTTCCTCCTTTTCCAATTTTTGAGGTGTAACAATTCTTGAGAACCTTTAGGTCATTAAAGAAATATTATCATCCTCGAAGTCATCCTTTTCAATTGTCCTAAGGATTATGTTCTTTTGTTTCTTGATTCTTTTTCAGTTCTTAGGTCATGAGATTTCCAATGAGCTCATTCATCATCATAGTTACCAGGTCACATGATTTTGAAATTGTTACCTCTTTGCTTTCCCGTAATTCAGGAAGAACACATAAGTTTTATGACTATTTTTGTAATAGGAATCACTTCTCCTAAGATTTCATTAATGATAGCCATGAACCTAGTGTGCATATCCTGAATTGTTTCACCTTCCATCTTTCTAAATAGCTTACACTACAATTTAGATTATTAATTTTGGATTTCTTGACCTAATTTTTTTCCTCATGAGCCATTTTAGTGTTTCTGATATAACCTTTTGATCTGGATATGCTAAAATTCTAATATACTTATCCGAATCTATTTCGTATATCAAGATCTTTTTTTCTTTTGCATTATTCTGAATTGCAAGTTTGGCAGCAGCATTATGTTCCTTTCTACTGTTTGGCACCTGAGTTGTTCTATCAGTTCCATTCTTCATAGGTATGGTAGGACCATCTAGAATAAATGCCCAGAGATCTAATTTTTCTCCTATACAATGATCCATCATATTGTTCTTTCACCATCCATAATACTTTCCATTGAATAGTAGGGGTCTTGTTTGTGGCTCTCCTTCCTGTGCAGTAGGTGGTGCAGTCATTGATCCTTTTCAAGGTATGAAACTCTTTAAGTGAAAAGATCTACTCAAATACCAATTGAAGAAACCTTAACCAGTTGATCAAAACAAGAACCATGTTCTTGTTGTATTAGCAGAGACAATAATGCAACAGAAACGAAATACAGATTTATCATGGAAATCCTCCTTGCTCAAAGGAAGAAAACACACGACCTACAGCTTGTAGGATTTCAGCAACCTCCACCAACTTCAAAGAGCAACTTTATATTACAATTCAATAATAAAATGGACTAACTCTAGTACCTCAACTCTAACTATTAACTCTAAGAGGTATCAAATGGGCGGGTTGGGTTGAAATTGGAGATATTAGAATGGGTTGAAATAGAAATTGGGTTGGATCTTGACCCGCTCAAGTTTACTTTGGGCTCAGATGGGCTTAAAACTGGGTTGCGTCTAGACTCGCTTAATCTCAATAATTTTAATATATTGTTATTTAAGTTTTATAACCACACTTTGAATTTTAACTTAAGAAAATTTTAAAAAAGAAGTTACAAATGGATAGATAAATCCTAAAAATATAAAATAGATAGTAATTCATACCTTTAATATAGGAACATACATTACATCAATGCAAATAAAGAGTCTTAAAATGGGTTGAAATTGGAGATTAAATTGGGCTCAATTGAAGATTCTCTTAAAATGGGTTAAGGCTTGAATGAGTTGAGATTGAACCCAATTTAAATTATCTTGAGCACAACCCTTAAAATCATGGGCGGGTTCGGCGGGTTACCTATAGTTGGGCTCTTTTTGACACCCGTAACTATAATTGTTGTCTCTACTCTCCAAGAAATCAAACTCATTTCTTATTACAAAATCTCACAAGTTCACTTTCACATTTAGTACAATTATCATTAAACAATGCTTTTAAGTTGAACTAACACAAACTTAGCTTTAGAAAGAAAACCTAACTCTCGTTCTTCTTTCTTCTGGTTTTTTTCTCTTTTGCGTTGTCACTTGCTCTTGCTGAAAAACAACCTCGTTTTATGATAGCAAAATCTAGTTTTCTCATGTCTCAATTATCCTTTAATAGGAGTTTATGAAACCCTAGTGGAGTCCTACAAGAAAAGTAGTTTTCCACTTGTCACATTCTTTCCTTATTACGTTTCTTCTTCCTTTAATAAGGTTTTCCTATTCACGCGGTTTCTCTTTTCCTTCCTTCAAGTTGGTGAACCTGGTTCACTTTGTCATCATCAAACCTGTTCTGAATATTGTTATATCATCAGAGGCTTTAGCCAATAAAAAAGCTCCTCTTGAACCCTAAAGTACTAAAACCAATTATAGAGGGTCGCGTGGTGATGCTACTCAAAATGTGTACAGGCTCTTCCACTCACCTGGCCCTTTTTATATTTTATCTCGTTTGTCCTTTTATCCACATCACTAGGGTACAATTCCTTTCATTTCTCTACCGCGTTTATTCCCTCTCTCTCGAGGGTGTATTCCCCGAGGATCCTATTTTCCTTGTCCTATCAATCTACACATGTTGTTCTTCACGCCACATGTAACAGACAAGTTTTACCCATCACAATGTGCTCACAAAAAATGAAAATACAAACTGACAGGCTCTCAAAAATAGTTATGTATTGATTTTCATCAGCAAAACTTTTTGGATGTTACCAAATTGTCATATTAAAATGATACTAGTGTGTCATCTGTAAGAACAAAATACATTTGTGGGCTCTTATAAAATATGTTTTATAGAAAAATGGAATTGCTTAATTACAAGGGGGGCTATTTGAAGATTCATCCACTCCAAATGCAGGTGAGGTGACAGTAGTAATATCAATCTGAAAATGAATCTTCAGCACACATAAGTGTTGGTATTTGGTCATTATCAACAAAGTTAATCTTGTTCAATCTCACACATCCAAGCACTTTCTCCGGTAATTCCTTTGGCTTTTGCGCCTTCATTATTTATCCATGAATTTAAGTTTCATGCACTGATTGATAAAATTTACATTATTGAATCATAATGTGACAAGTATTAAGTAATCTACACTAATAATGTTTTTAAAAAAAAGGTGTATTGTTGATCTAATCAATAAATATATCATCTTGACAAGCCTAAATCAAAGCTAACTTCCTCAATCCTTATATATTCAATTCTTGCTGATATATAACAAGTAAAATAAAGGGAAACCTGAATTGTTAGACCAAGATCCAGTATCCCGAATCCTAAACGCTCCCTAAAAGAATCTAGTCCCTTTCTTGCAATGTAGCTGAAGCGATGAATGTCAAGATCAACCTCGAAGTAATTTGGTCCCTGCAATAAACAGAAAAAAAGAAAGATAGACTTGATGTTCATGTTCGATAACATCAAAATAATGCTAAAGTTGAGATAAATAAAAGGATTTAAGTTATATGCACTGATATTGTAAAGTCTTTTTAGACTATCAATTCAATTTAACTTATTATACCATGTCAAGATCAACCTGATAGTGTAAATATCATTGATCACAACGTACATTAGTGCATAGAACTTAAAACTTTAAATCAAAACTCAAAAGGATAGAGTATCCACCTGATAAAAGTTGTGTTGAGGGCGCGAAAGCACTGGCTTCTCATTGTAAGCATTCAAAAGCTTACTTTCAGTAGCATTTGAAACAATCTCATCTGGATTAACCACTCCAACCATAATCTTCAACCTCTCTCTAAAAGGAACATATGATTATCTTGCAAATCCTTTAACCTTTTCCATATCATCCTCAACTAATCTCTGTCGTACGAATATAGAAATGAAAATTTAATATCAAAGCAAGTCATGTTGAAAGTTCTCCAATCCCCTACTACCACTTTCATGGAAAGAGGCAGATGAAGAATTATAATCACTAGGTTAAACCGAATCAGCATTTCTACAAGAAATGTAGATGTGTAAGAGCAAAATCACTAATATTTCAACAAAATGTTAAATGTTGAACCCCATAATGTACTAAGAGCCTAAAGGTTGAAGCATCAAATTTGAATTCTCGATTCACCTCTTGTTCATAAAAAAATCTATATCATGTAATACGAATGACTTAAGAGATCTAATAAAATGTAAGACAAGCTTGTTTCTAATTAGTTTAAGCAAGAATTAGACATTTTTTGCCATTTCTTCCCAATAATGACATTGAGAAATATCATATTTCTAGAAAAAAAAAAAAAAGAAACCATGGAAGCAAAAGACTCTTACCAACGTTGTACTACCTACTCGCCGGTGAAAATGGAGAAGGCGTGTTCTGTGAACTATAAAATTGTTCCAACCAAAGACTGAAGTGTATCTTACAAGTTTGGCATATATTCATTATCATATCTCGTAAGACACCAGGAAATTTGTTTAGACATGAAACTACCTTGATGTTGTCCTGAAACTGGGGAGAAACATCTTTGTCAAAACTTTCAGAAATTTTGAAGTATATGACAAGGCTCAAGCCTTCTCCATCACCATCACCAACGAACATTGGAGCTGAATAAGTAGGCAACTGAATATTGATAATTAGTAATGGAGGAAATTTTTCATCTCCTTTTACGGAAGGGAGCACAAGGTGTTGTGCAATGTGATTTATCTTCTTAGGACACACAAATAAATCAACCCCAATAGGAATATAAGGAGATACACTTTGAGTAGGAGATTTTCTCTTGTCACTGCAAGATTAATCAAGGAAATGTATGGGTAATAAATTATCATTTACAAGATATATCGTCACACTTAAAAGGATTCCACTGAGGAGTGTACCTGAAATAACTATCACTACGTAGCTTAAAATTTGAGCGATCAATCTTTGACCAACTTCTTGCAATTAACTTTTCTTCTCTGCAACAAGGAATTTGCACCCCGGCCCTAGGACGATAAAGATACGTTTTTGATGCACCTACAAGCAGAGATGGATCCAGGATTTAAACCTAATTGGTTCACGATTCTCAATTCTACAAAGACATGGTTCAAAAACTTAGTTATCGTGTTCTTAGGTGAGATTACGACTAAAAGATATGACATTCTCAACAATAGGTTTGTTCTCCTATATTTTTACATTCTAGAATAATTGTAAACATATACTTAAGTCTTACTTAACCCCAAAAGTTAGCTCATGAAGGGAGGATTGCCTAAGTTCATATAAGCAGACGATCAGTCCATTCCCAAACCAATGTGAGATTCCAACCCACTCTAAATCCCCTTCACGCCTATGCCCAAGTAGAGTGTGAACAATATAGCATGGAGCCCAAACAGGGAAGAAACTGACCTGATACCATGTAATCGAATGGAAGAAGTAATAACTCTACTCATGAATAATTAAGGTACCTATACAATTACAAGGATTATATAGAAGGGATTATATCAAAATTAATAAAAGGAAATATTCTAGATTTACTCTTGTGATTTGGATACCATATTTTGTAACAACACGAAAATTAATTACAAAGTCATCATCATATCATGATCACAATAAGAATAAGATTACCAATTAGATTCATAAAGAATAAGGAGAACACAGGGATGTCATGAAAAAAAATGCATAGAATGATTTTTGCATATAGCTTAATTTAAGATGAAAGAATAAAATCGAAATGGTAAGTGGCAAGGTACTTACAATATTTATCCTCTTCTTTGCCATCAACAGATGTTCTCTTTAGAGAAAGCCTTATTGTTGATTGCTTTACTTGAGAAACTTGGCCTGATTTCGATGCACTAATGATCTGTTCATTGAAACTCAAGGAAGTAACCAGCTTCGGTAGGACAGTCTTAAGCACATTCTCTTGAGTTTTTTCCAGCATACCAAGTTTATCTTCCTTAACACTATTAAAACTTCCATATGCACGATCCAAATATCTCTTCCTTTGGGCACCAAGGACTTTGTGCTTCCCAAGGGACGGAACTTCATAGCCCTGACCACCTATAAGTGCAAGTCCTTTCGGACTATTAACTCCATATTTGAGCAAAAACTTATCTGATCTACTGCCATCTATCTTGAGATATATTTCGTGGTACTCCTTGTACTTAAGGTTGTTATCCATAAAGCATGATGAAGTTTCATATTGAAGCACTTGTCCAGTTCTTGGGAATAGATCTACAAAAGTTAAAGAGTATAAATAAGCAAAGAGAAATTTGGACGTGGTGCCTATTATGTTGGAAGGGATCACTCTAGCAGCTAATTATCTAATAGATTATTGATGTCAAATGTCGGTAAAAACAACAGAAAAAAAAGATGTTCATTACCTCCATAGACGCTACTGAAGTCATCATCTGAGTTAGAGTCAACATTGCTGCATGTATCAAACCAAGCTTCTTGGCTAAGAACTGCAAGCATGTAAACTTTCTATTCACTTTCAAACTTTTAAAGCTACATTTCTTTCAATTATTCATTTTTTTTTTGGAATAAAAAAGTCAATATTAACATAATCTGCATCATAAGAGTAAAGATGACAGCAGAATATACTCTTTTGACATTCTTCTCTCAACAAAATAGAATCTGAAATATTCTTCATATAGGTTTATTTTTAGAATCACATGGACAATATCATTTTTGAGCAGGACCAAGACAGAATATTTGGAATGCAAATTCAATGTTGCGATAGATGAAGCCGGCGACGAAGTGAGGCTTGGCACACAGACTATTCCCAAGAGAGAAAGTTTCAAATATCTTGGGTCCGTCATCCAAGGTAGTGGGGATAGGGAATCTTAGTAGCTCAGTTGCTTGGTGTAACACCCCGGAAACTAGTGAGTTGAACTAGTTTGTTGTAGAGTCTTGTAGTGGAGTTTTGGACTGTCGTATGAGGGTTAGAATCTAAGATAAATGGCTCCCCTACTTAGAATGACATGTTTAGGGGTTAAACGTCTGGGTACGACTCCCCAAAGACCACCCAAGGGGTCCTTGAGGAGGACCCCAACACTGCCCAAAAAGCTATCAAAACAGCTGATCTACGACCCCAATTCACGCCCCTTAGATCAACCTACGCCCCGTAGGTCATGGGCGTAGGTCAGGCAGTTGGCCTGCAAAATATGAGTCTCTGACCCAAATCACGACACTCCCGTACTTAGAATATCATGTTTAGGGGTTAAACGTCCGGGTACGATTCCCCAAGGACCACCCAAGGGGTCCTTGAGGAGGACCCCAACACTGCCCAAAAAGCTATCAAAACAGCTGATCTACGACCCCAATTCACGCCCCTTAGATCAACCTACGCCCCGTAGGTCATGGGCGTAGGTCAGGCAGTTGGCCTGCAAAATATGAGTCTCTGACCCAAATCACGACACCAAACCATGTCCCTTAGACCCATCCATGGTCCGTGGATGGGGATCCGTAGATGCTGCCAGGTTTTGACATTTTAGTTTAAGTTAGGTGTTTGGAGTTAAGTTAGTTATTTAATTAAGGGCTTAGGGGGTCGGTTTAGTAGTTAAATAACCACCTATAAATAGTTAATAGACCCCTAAGTCATTAACTCATTCATCTAAAGACCCCCAAATTACTCCCCGAGAAATCCTCTCTTTAGAAGAAGAAGAAGAAAAGAAGTTGGGGCAGCAGCTTAGGGAGATTTTCACCATTGATTCAAGCTTTGTTTGGGGCTTTGATTGAAGGTATGTGAATATTATTCATCTATGTGTTCTTCCACCCATAGATCCCCCATAGAAATCCCCCAATTGTGGATCAAAATCCCCATTCTAGCTAGGGTTGTTCTTACATTGTGGGTAGGGTTTGGGTGTGATTCCAATCTAGTGGATATCACCCAATTATGATTGATTTAGCTTTGTTTAATGATAAAATTATGATTTCATGTGGTTTCTATGGTGAGCCCTAATCTAAATTGATGAATGTGATTATTGTGGGTTTATGTCATTAGAGGCAAAATTGAAGGTTCTGAAGTGATCTTCCTATTTCAATGTCTTGAATACTAATTGATCATAGTTAGGATCATCTAATCATGAATTGAACTAGACTTAATTGAATAGGAATGATCTTGACTTGTAAAATTGGAATAGAACCTTTATGATCAAGTATGACTAGAATCACCTTCTAATGAACAATGTGATTGAATAGCTTGTAATTTAGACGTGGATCATGGTAGAATAAAGTTAATCTTGAAAGTAGGGCTTATATCCATCATTGTTAGGGCTTTGGGGGTA